AATCTACAGACATTCCTCAAATGCAAGATTTAAACCAAACCACTAAGCCACGTCACCCATAACTGAAGGATGCATAATTAACTATTAACCCGTTTCATTTGAGTTTCACTATATTCTGGTCATTTTCTGCACACACCGGAAATTAAGTGACTTTTCTACGGCAAATCAAAAGGCATCACTTATGCATCATCAAGCCAGTCTAATGCCTCTTTGATTGTACCCCGCATTGGATTTTAAATAATGACAAATGACGCACTTTTACAAACTGCCTGAGGAGCATTTTTACAGCAAGCCCAACTTAATGTCACGAGGTGTTAACGGATTGATTCTCCTAATCTGTTCAGCTACACCGCTTGTCAGTGTGGGGCAGCTGAATTGTCTTAAGACAGCCTGGTGTGCTGTGTGTTAACCAATTTCACGGCCATCTGTCACGCACAGTTAAACTTTGCGCTGCCGTGTTGAGGGGAGGGAGGAGGAGAGGAAGGAAAAAGAAGGGAAGGGAAAGCCGCTCTGTCGCTGAGGCCGGGCAGAATGGATCACACAGCGGGGCTGTGTAGCCTTCCTCAAGTTCATTCAGAGCACTGCAACCAGACCAGTGACTTTTCTTCCCAGCTAATTATGTGGAAACTGCAAAGACAATAAAGCATCTGGTGGTCTTTCTCCCTGGTTTCAATTTTTCTCAATATTGTGACAGGCTAATGCATTGTGTCTGACTCAGCCATCCCAGCAGGGGATTGAGTGAAAGGCAGGGTCAGGAGAGAGCAAATAGATGAATTTATAACTTTGCCTTTTCACATTAAAGTAGCGAGATTGTTTCACTGAGACCCACTCCGCCCCCTCTCGCTGTTCCTCCACAGAGACCGAGACTGTCTTTGAAAACTTGTTTTGTCTGTGCCACCCAAACTGAGTCTGGCCTTCCCCTTTCTGAGAGTCCTGGGTCACCACTGTTGGCCAACCTCCCCTATTCCTGCAAAACCTCCTAACACAGAGCCGGTGAAAAGAGAAGAGACCCAGTTCAGACATATCTGCGCTGAAGAAAGAGAACAACTTAAAAAATGTATAGTCTTCTTATTGCACTGATAATGACAAAAAAAAACTTTTTGGCAAAACATCTTTTGCATTATTGTGTAAAATACACAAAGCTTTACACAGAAATGTTGATAAATGCTTACACAGTAATTCTCAAAATGATTCATTTCGAAATAGCATATTTTGCCTCGGACATGCAACAATCAATTACACCCCTAGATGCCAAACCGGTTGTAGTGCAGACAGCTTTGTAGACTATAGCATTCTTGTTGTGTTGCATTGCTCTGTGTCACGTGATGTGTGTCACTATGTGACTACATTATAAAAGAGAGGTTTGTCAATCTATATACAAGTAAATAAATTGCATAAATACACACTTAAAAATGCAACTACTATCATGTACAGGGTACAGCAGGTTGGTTGATTATCTGGTTGAGTCGGATGATGAAAATGTGACTACATGTTATGTTCATTCATAATGTGCATGCATCTTTATGCCCCGTAAATGTAAACTTTTGTGGGGTAACTTTTTTTCTTACGTTATTTAAAGGCTTTTTTTAATTCAGTTGAATATTAGAATCTTTTGAATCTTTTGAACAAAGAACTGTCATTTATTTTAAAGACGCACAGGTCGACCGCCGTAAATAGTTTTTCCGTTTTATTTTGCACCAATTCCTGATTGGTGCACTAAAATGTCATTTGTGTGGAAAATTGATATATTATAAAGTCTATAAACAGGAAGTTAACAGGCCAGATCAGAATATAAATATAATTTAAATTGGGTAAGATTTAAAAAATAAATGAATACTTTTTTCAGCAAAGGAGGATTAAACTGATCTAAAGTGACAATAAATACTTTTTATAATATTACAAAATATTTATATTTCAAATAAATGCTGTTATTTTGAGTTTTCTATTTATCAAAAATCCTGAAAAAAATGTCTCACAGTTTACACAATATTAAGCAGCACAAGTGTAATAATATGAAATGTTTCTTGAGCATTAAATCAGCATTAGAATGATTTCTGATATGACACTGAAGACTTAAGTAATGATGCTAAAAAATTCAGCTTTGCAAAAACTTCCTTTAAAATTATATTAAAATGCACCAAAAATACTGTAATAATATTTCAAAATGAAAATACTACCAGTACTTTACTGTATTTTTTATCAAATGAATGCAGCCTTGGTGAGCATTTAAGTCTTATTTCAAAAACAAAAAGTAACTGATTACTTTCTAGTAGAAAAAAAATGGAATCAAAGGAAGTAAAAAACAAACAGAAGGTATAAAAGTAACCCCACTAACACCCAACACTGACCAATGGTATTAAACAACAATCATCTGTATTCCTCAGAATGCAACACTTTTGACAGATTTGACAGCAATCGTTGTTTGCCAAAAAGCTCATTGGCTCAGCAGGCAGACACCCAATAGCAGGAGGGCACCCTTCTGGTTATGAGATGATCTTCCTCCCCTGCACACCCGATCATCCTCAAGTCACTGCTGATCTTCAAGAACCCTCCATTCCCCCTCTTTTCCCCCTTAATTAAATGTGCACTTCATTAATGTAAATTGAGGGGCTTTAATGCCCTTGTTGAAATTCTGAAGAAAGTGCTGTGGCCTCGCGAAATGCTCAGGCATCATTGCAAATTAGATTAGGGACCAAGAAAGGCAGTAAAATTAGAATGATAATGGTTGATATGGCTGCCTGACAGGCATGACTATTCAAGGATCAATGGGACGTAGAATGCCTAGAGAAAGCCCACTCTCAAAGGCTTGGACCCACGTCAGCCTACAGATGTGCCTTTTGGAAGCACTTTAAATTAGTTTAATTTGGTAAATGGTAGGGATTTAGAAGCTCTTAGCCTGCCTATAACAAGACAGGAATACATTGAAATGTTTTGCTATTCTTTTATTAGCATAAAATAGGATTGAGGGTGATTTGCATTCCCAACAAGTCTACTTTTTTTGCTCATTTACTTTTTTTATATATATTTAAAATAGCATTTTCATCCATAACTCATCCCTGGACTTTAGAATGAACCCTTTTCCCAAGCTGCTTTTCATTCTACTTAATCCTGTTAAGGACGGGAATGGGGGTTGATTTTATTCAAACTAATCTCATCAAACACACCAATTACACGCTAATTTTGATTAAAAACCAATGGCTGAAAAGGGCTAAGGACGTTTCCTTCCAACTTAAGAATCATAGCTGTTTTCATTAGGGAGATCTCAGCCCATCCCTGTCAAAAGCTGCTAATGCATTATGTCTAACCTGAAGTTCATGGTTTAGACATATAAACAGTGGCACAAAACCACTAACACATCTGTAATTGATTCATTGAGGGTGGATGGGGGGTGAGGGGGGGGGGGTCAGCTGGTCTCACTGCGCATACAAACTGCTGCTTTTAAATTGACCCCAATTCTTTTTCATAATCTGACATCACTGACTTACTTTGTTTACTCTCTTGGTAAACAGCAGCAGCATTGTGGTGTGCTGTTGAAAAGGGAGAAGCTATGCTTGAGCTGATGGGGGCTGGGTCAGAGGAAATGACTTTTAACTAGTTTGGTCTTTAGCCACTTAGGAAATGCAAAGAGAGGGATTACACAGAGATCTGCTGCATTGTTAGAAGATATGCACTTTGCCTAAAGAATCACTACACTGCCAACAAAAATTCATCATGATTTTAGGCAGCACAAAATAACAGTTAAAATAAAAAATAAAAATAATCATAATAATTTATCATTTAAAAGTAGCACACACACACACACATTATATACTGTATATATATACAGTATATATATATATGTGTGTGTATGAGGCTACAGTATACACACACACACACAATATAGTATATACATATGAAGCCTGTGTGTACATATATACGCTATAATATGCTACATATAGTGCCGTAACTTTGCTTTAAAAAGTGGGTGGTGGCTAATACAATGCTAAATCACAATCGATTTAAATAGTAAATTGTGTTTAATTTCCTTGTAGGCCTGAGACGAGAGTTCAAGAGATTTCCACGACGCACGCGCGAGAACTGAACTGAAGTAGTTGAAGGAGATCCAGTTTTCTTGTGCATGTGTCATGGAAAACTCTTGAACTCTCGTCTCAGGCCTACAAGGAAGAAAATGAATAGTCGAATAAAGTCATTATTTTTGTTTGTTTGTTTTTTGGCACAAAAAGTATTCTCGTCACTTGATACACTTACACTTGAGCCACTATTGTCACATGGAATGTTTAAACATTTTCTTCATTGACTTTCTGGGCCGTCAAGTTTCAATCCCTTAGGCGGCCTATGTAGCAGTGATCCACCTCTCAAATTTAATCAAAAATATCTTCATTTGTGTTCTGAAGACGAATGAAGGTCTTACGGGGTTGGTACAGCATGGGGGTAACTAATGACTTCATTTTCATTTTTGGGTGAACTAACTCTTTAACTAGAGAGGTTTTATTTATGTGTATTAGTTACATCCCTGCCGCTAGATGTTTCAAAAGCGGTGGGGACAATATCAACCCAAGCAAAAGGTGGTGGGGACATGTCCCACCCGTAAATTACACCTATGGCTATACATATGCATACATTATATATACCCTATGCATGCATTTGTGTGTGTGTGTTCTGCTCCATCTGTATAGGTATATAGACCAATCAACTGAATCCTTAATGCGGGAGGCAACAAATGCCCAGAGAATCCCCATTAATATTCCCAGTGTCACCCCAGAGAGAGGTCTTCATGAACAAAGCAAGCTCATTTATCGGGCAGCAGGTCAGTATACACTAGATACATTTGCAGGCAATAGAATGGCCACACAAGCAAAGCAACTCACGAGCAGAGGTTTGGTAAATGCAGGTGTGAAACCACCTGAAGACAATTCCAAACAGACTCATATTATCTCACAAATCTCGGGATGAGCTAGTTCATCTAATCTGAATCATCAGGCAAGTAAAAATAGGCTTACCTCATTACAGTTCTTCCGGTGTCCCTCACCTCCTCCAACACCACTTCGCACCAACCAATCCAAAATTGCATTGTTCTGTAAATCGTCCTCGAGGACTACCTATGGGAGTAACACTATATTTTGAACATGTAAGAACTTGTGAACTAGCTTTAAAAAAAAGACTACACAAGGTTACTAACTTAGCTTTAAAATAGTGCAGCTTTTCTGTTAGCGACCTTGTTTTTCTTTTTCAACAAATAGTGTAGCGTGACAAAATATCAATGTTTTTCGTCTCGTATTATTAGCGTATTAAAATTGAGCAAAGCAATAACACGCTCTCCTAAACAGTCAGTCCACTCTCTTCAATTGGAACGTCTGATTAATTCTAGTGAATCGGTTCATTCGGATGGTTCATTTTAAAGGAGCGGATTCAAAAAATTTGTCACCGATTTGTGTACCCAGATATTTATATAATGCATTTCTTTGGCTCAGATATATTAACCAATTCTGATTAAATGATAAAATATATAACCAGTTTGTTAAATGTTTAAAATGGAAAAAACAAATCTGTATTCCATGTTAATATACATCACTGAGAAAAAAAGGTTCAGAGCTGTCACTTGGCCAGTACCCCAAGGTACAAAAGATCTACATTATTTATCCCTAAATATTACATATTAGGACAACACATACTTTAAAAGTACTTATTAGTACCTTAAGTGTAGCTACATATTTGTACCTTTACTGCCCCAGTGACAGCTTTGCATTTACAGCTTCAAAGTAGGTTCCCCAACACTGGTATCATATTATTCAGCATCGACAAGACAATAAACAAATTTATTCAGAAAAAGCAATGAGCTGATCTTATCACATTCATTAAATGAAATGATTTTACCCTGGCATGTCTAAAAGGGCAGCAGAAAGCTAATGAGGCCTCTATAGGAAGTGAAGCCCCAGTGGCCGACTCTGTAATTAATCAGCTTCCCCTCTGATTATGGTGTCCATCAACAAGAGACACGCCACTGTTTGCATCAACAGGCAGAGGCTTGGAATTGGACACACTTAAGTGAAATCTTAAAGTGAGAAAAGGACTGAAGCACTGCAACTAAAGGCAGGTCTTTGGAATTAACCATTATCCTAAAAATAACTAATGCATATTGACAAAAATCTTCAAGATTTTGGATTACCCATTCAAATATTCCTTTATACATCTTGTTCTCTTGTTCTTCTCCACCCCCCTCTAGGATTCTCTTCAGCAAGGATGCATGTCCTCTATGGGCCAGGATCAATGTTAAAAAGTGGAATTAGTCATTCTAAATCATGCAGCAGTGGTCGAAGGGATGGCCTCCGAAAATCATTAGACAATCATGTATTCCTATTGATTTATTCAAAGTACCTGGACTGAAAGCAGATTAAACAGCAAGTAAAAGGAAGCTAATGCTGATTAAATGCTAGTGGGATGGGAGGTCCTTTGGGTATGTTTTCGTCCTAATCAGTAGGAAACAATACTGCTGCAATCACTGGTCCAAACAGGTCTATTAAGGGTCCTTTACTTGACATATTTATGTATTTCAAATACTAGAGCGCGCATTAAATTGAGTTTACTCACAGCACCTTTGCATCAGGTTGTAAGCGTTCGACGTTCAGAGTGCAATGGATGATGACTGCTGCTCATCCAATGGATATTTATCAGTAATGCTTTTTTTTTTACTTAATGCAGTATGTTTTCAGGCATCTGTGTCCATTTGAAAAGATAAAAAATTCAGAAAGCAAATAATTTTAATCAATTTTCAATAAAAGAAAATTCAATAAATTTCAGTTTTGCAAGATATGGATGGACATGAATATGATATGATAAGAATGAACTATGTTTTTAACAGTTTTAACAGTTTTATTGTTGACAATTTTACACTTGATGTCCAGTTTAATATTGTACCCATGAAGAAAGACCAGTAAATATCCACACTGCCATAAAACTTTAAGTCCATAAGGATAATTTCAGGTATTGTAGTCCAGTTAAAGTCATAGAACCTGAAAAGTCATTTGTTTTCTCACCAAACAGATCTCCTCAACCATGACAAAACCAGAACAAAGCAAAAAGTCAATTCAAGTTGAATGAAACCCAAGGTAACAAAGAAAAATCATGTCATTTTGAGAGAAAGCGAGAGAGAGAGAGAGAGAGGGTCTGTACAGAGGGGCTATAACAGGATTTGATATAGCATGGTTATGCTGGAAATCGACTCTAAAGCACAGCCTGCTTGTGTCAAGCCATTGCTCAAAGATCAATACTTGTTCAGTACAAAAATACAAAATAAAAGCCTGTTCATGGTCCGGTTTCTCTCGTGCCTTGAGGATCTACATTGACAGCAGAACGGAGGTGGGCTCCACAAGGACGGTAATCAATGAGGCAAAGGGTTGAGATCTACTGATTTACTCCTTTTGTGGGTTGATTAGGCTTTAGGGACATTTGAAGCACGCAGGAATCACTAGAGCAGAATGCGTAATCCATATCAACATCAGCTCCGGAAAGATTTGGATGTAATTCGACTGATGCATGTGCATAAATCATCATGTGAGCGGAAGGAATTCAGCCTGTACTGTCTGTAAAATAAGCAGTTCTAGCAACTTGGGGTATGGTCGGTGGAATTGCAAACAATGCCGATATATAGCCTACACATACACATATACATACACACTATATAATTTTTATTTAATTTTTTTATGTAAATATATATATTTCTTTATTTAAAATGTTACACTTTTTTATTTCCAGGTTTAAGCCAGCTTTTTGGTGTGATCTTTAGGACGTCACTTTAAATTTCATCTGGGTAAGTCTAAAATCAAAGCTATTCAGAGCAGCTAATGTTTAATCCAGGTTTTTGGCTCAACTCTCTGCTTTTAATTTGCCTTCCATGCCCTTTTGTTGACAAAGGTAAACTGATGACAGTTTAGAAAAGCCAGCTCTCAGCCATGTGAAAAAAAAAAAAAAGATGTTGACCCTTCCTAGATTGAATTTAGCACAAGGCTGGATAGCAGCAGTTGCAGACATGATGGATTATTGTAATGACCACCTCCACGGCCTTTTTGTCATGTTTAAATGGCAATAAATTTAAGCAGAAAGCACAAACCACGTGTTTGGTGTGTAAGTAAAATGTACTTCATCAACCATGCGCATTTAAAGGTATTGCTAAATTGCAAAATTGGGGTATGTTTAATCTTAATTAATATTTATTCAATGTCGTCTGTAATGTTAAGTGAAAAACGTTATAACATTTGAAACTGTTGTTGTCATTATTACCTAACCTGACTAATCGAACGCAGCCAAATACATTCAGTCATATTAAATATATTAAATTAGAACAAAACCAGTTAATTTAGATGTTATATTTAGATGATAAAAAAAACATTTTTACAGCGACTTGTCAGGTTGTTTTTAACCTTCTTCTATAGCACTAATGAATAATGAAAGGGCATAATAAGATAACTAAAGCATGAGGAAGAAATTAGATGTCTGAATGCTTTCAGTCAGCTTTAGTTTAGCTTTAACGCAGTGTTTGCTATCGGATGATTTTTCATGCACTGAGTGTTGTGGATGAGAAGCTGATACCGAGCGTCTTTCTGTGAGAAGCACTGCATTTGCTGTCGTTTAAGAATCTCCTGGTCGATACGTTTGGGAGTGCAGAGGTATGAGTCTCTGCTGGCCTTATCTTCTGCCCTCCTCCCTCTTAACACCAGTGATTGAGTGCTGGATATTAGACCCTTAGGCCACCACATACACACATCACACTCTCACTCACGTACACACACACACAGGCAAACACACACATCACACATATATTACCCAAGTTGAGAGTGATGGCCAGTTCCCACATAACTCATGAGAAACTAGGAATGGAAAGACAGAAAATCTGGTCTTGACACAATCACAAAATAGAGTTTATTATTAACCTTTTAAACCTCTGCGATTAAAACTCATAATATATAATTATTTAGAAATCATACATATATATCAAATGTATATTATAAATCAATTATGTTAAATGCCTATTTATAAAATGTGTAATTTAAGTTAGACAGTAAAGTTATATTTTTGTCTTAAGTAAGTGAAACTAAATAATTCAATAAAAATGAAATAAAGGTAGCACATAAAGTTTAAAGATTTGCCATTGTGTGAAGGCAGGATGACAGGGGAATGGAACAAAAGAGACAAGTTCATCTATTTAGTGATGGACAGAGTGCCCAGGCAGGGGCAAACAGTCTATAACAACATGTAAATGAAGTAGCCTGTGCCAACACACCAGTGCTGTCTCTTTATCATGAATAAATATTGGTGGTTCTCACCATCCAACTTGGGTGCTTGCTGTCTGACAAAGCCTTGTGCAACACCACATTCCATACATCCTGTTGCTACACTGGATGTCTTTATAAAGGTGGAAAAACCCTGCAACCACTTCATCAAAGAATAGGTTAGGTGGTCAACACAAAGTCATTAACCTTTGACCCTGATACATTTTAGGCCAGAGGAACAGCACCTGATCAACTGATTGTTTGGGAATGAGATTCCCTCGAGCTTCAAATATTTTTTGTTATTTATTATGCTAAACCTTACCTTTATATATATATATATATATGAAGAGTTCAGATGCAAAAGCCTCTGTGAAAAAAAGTGCCATTTGAAATTTTCTTCTAGAATGATCATTTTTATAAAGCTTGTATATTTAAGTTCAGTAATTTCACTTAAATTGCAATGATAATTACCTATTAATTGTTATTTAAGTGAAATTACTGAACTTAAATATACAAGTTTGATAAAAATCATCATTAAAGAAGAAAATTTCAAATGGCATTTAGAGGCTTTTGCATCTGAACTCTTCATATATATATATATATATATATATATATATATATACATATACACACACACACACACACACACACACACACACATATATATATATATATATATATATATTTCATTTTAAATATCAAAACGGATCCTGAAATTTCCTACACTGTAAAAAATATTTTCATGATTTGTAATCACAACATTTTTTCTTTTTTTTTCTTTTCAAAACATAATATTTTGAGTTTCTGATGATTACATCAATCTCCTTCCTTGTAATAACTCAAATTTTTCCATTTCAATGAACTTAAAATTAAGGCAACCAGGTTACTTAATTTTTTAAGTTAAACCAATAATATTTTTTTACAGTGTATTTCATGTTAATACTTTTGTAAATAGTTTGGCTCTTACATTTACATTCATTCATTTAGCTGACGCTTTTATCCAAGGCGACTTACAATTGCTATATACTGTAAGTCAGAGGTCGCACGCCTCTGGAGCAACTGGGGGTTAAGTGTCTTGCAGAGACACATTGGTGTCTCACGGTGGATTCAAACCCGGGTCTCTCAAACCAAAGGCATGTGTCTTATCCACTGCGCCATCACCATTTTTATTGTAGCTTATATACATTATATAAGCTAACATTGTTGGGTCGCCACTTGACATCCAACGAAAAAAATTTAACAACCACTGTTTTTTAACAATATCCTTTGATATGAGGCGTGGCAATGTAAAATCTTTTAAAATATATAGAGGCAGCAGACAAGTCTAGCCATGTAAGGACTAGCAAGATTGCTAAATGTGACCTAAACAGGCAGCCATCTCCAGACCTGATTTGAAGGAGTGTCTCCAGTGACAGAACGCCATCTCCTTCATGCTCTGCAATAAATGGTTCCACTGTCGGGGAGAATGGGTGGAATAAACTTCACTCTCCAATCCCCTGGCCCATTTAAACAGCAGATGAAAAGGTGGAGGGACAGGCAATACATGTTACTCCTCTTTCATTCGGCGCTCGGCAGCTGATAAACAAAACAGCGAATATCCAGTGCATTTTTAGACAGCCGCTTTTCACCTGTCACTCCGTATAAAGAGACAAGCTGGGATTTTCACATGCCACTTTCTCTATGGCTGACACTCACACAGCAGCCTCCCAAATGAGTCTGTATTTATCAAGGCCTCTCACTTTCTCTCCCCCTCTATGTCTCCGATGGCATAATGACACAAGATTAATTCCAGTCAGCTGCTGAAAATAATTATTGCATTATGGGAACAGTGATCATTATTTAGAACATGATTAAATATGTCTGCATCTATTGACTCGAGGCCCTGTGATTTATGTATTTATTTAGTCAATAGTCTAATGTAAATGATGTAATTAATTATAGATAGTGGTGTCGGGTCGTTGGTGAGAGGAACCAGGCGTGCCGCTTTGTGCCGCTCGCTCTGACAGATGTGAGAGGTGGTTTCGGAGCAGTTGAGGGAATTATTCGGCCCCCAGATCTATTTCTTCGTCTGTCCTACCTCCGCTCTGTATATATGCTCTACATCTCTCTCACTCGTTTCACGACTGCCATTACAGCTGATATACTTCTGACAATCCACTTTCTCATCATTCATTCTTCAAACTGAGATTAGTGTAGGGCACAGTTTAGCTCCCTGAACAGTGCAAGACAAGGCTGAGGGATGGAGAAACGGGCTGGGTGTCTAAAGGGACGTGTTCTCATTTGCAGCTGGGTAAAAATTAATGTTTTTCAAATGAAGCCAGATGAACATGAGTAGATCAAACTGTTCTGAGAGCTTGTTTGATCTGAAATGTAGAAAATGTGTGTTTTTGAAGGCTGACACGAACATTTACAGATGGACTAATATATATGGCATTGCAACAAGGGTAAGGGTAATTTGTGTTACAAAGTAATTACACAAATAAGTACTGAGTAATATTAATTAACTACATGAACTTACTTAAGGTTTCCGATTTGTTTAGTATTGTGCATCATTTTCTGTTATAACTAAAAACATGTAAATACATCACCTTAAAAGTGCTTTCTTAACATTAACCGCATTAGTCAACATGAACTAACATCATAATATACTTCAAAAGCATTTATTAATCTTAGGTCATGTTCATTTAAACATTAACAGATGCATTTTTTTATATTATTGAGCTAATATAAACAAACAATGAAAAGTTATACTATTACTAACAATTTTTTACTAACTAAATCCTATAACCAATGTATTGCTCGTTCATAATTAATGCATAAGTAATGGGACCTAAGGTATACTATTTATATATGTAGATAGATATCTCACACTATTGTTATATCACACACACATTAGGCTACTTTATATTACAAAAAAAAAAAATCTAAATTCTATCCTTTTCATAGAATGGCCCAGAAGGATGACTGATTTGTTTACTCCCCGTGAAGAAAATCTTTCTCCTCTGCACCGCCCTATTTCCCCTCTCCCTGTGGATCGCTTCATGACTACATCCCTCCCAGAAGGATCATTCGGTCATCCGCAAGTCTCACTGGGACGTCGGGGGTCACGTAGTGTCCCTTGTCATGCCCGAGTGAAGTGATTTCCATTTTAATGTCACACTTCTAATCTCTCAAAGATGCAATGTACAAGACACAAAGGCTTTAAGTGGTCTTCATATATCACTCATTCCCTGCGCTTTCACTCGGGTAATCATCACGATTGCTCTCCATATCTCAATATCTGCCATCTGAGGTGCAATAAGAGTCCTGCCCGGCCATGGCTTACAGCCTCAGAGCAGGCTGAGATTTTTGTAGGACATCATCCAGTCCCCCCTGCCACACGTGTTTCGTGCCGCAGGGGGACCGAAATAAGTGAACCCCATCCATTTAGCTGTGTCAATATTCGGCTCATTTGGGATTCCTTTAATGGATCCATATTATGGCTAAGATGTTATTCACTGACTGACCCTAATGATAATGACGCCCTGACTGCAATAATCATAAAAAGTTTGCCAATAAATGCTTTATCTGAGGGAAAAAAAGCAACACTACCCAGAATTCAACCAAAAAAGGTCTTAAATTAATCAACCCCGGTAAACCTCAACATGCATCTTCATGCATTTCCTCCTATCGAATCAAAAAGCAATCTAAGATTATATGCAGAGTATATGTTTGCAGTAAGCTAAAGCCAGCGTAGTAGAAAAGTACCACAAGCCCATCTGGAGTACGATCAAGCTGTGTGGCTATACACAGCTTGTCCGGGTGACTGCTCATCTGGCACACGGCACACCATCATTTTTCCCTGTCACGGACGGAAAGGGGGAGGAATTTGCGGAGGAACCCCACCGTGGAATGTTTATATTTCATAAACAAAATGATGTTTTCACCACTGGCTGGGACGGGTGGTTCCAGTTGCTGAATTTCTCCTATGCCTGACGCAGATTATTAATGCGCTCGAGTAACTGTTAATTTCACTTTGGGGGAATGATTTATGGGCAGGCTAAGAAGAGAGGCATAATCTAATTGAGATCAGAATAGCTGTTTCTCCTGTAGTCACGGCAGTCCCATCCAGATGGGGCACTATGATTAATGCCTAATGAGCAAATAATCCATTAAATTAATATAAAACCATTTTTTAACAACACGGCTCACTTTAGGAGGGAATAAATAAATAAATTGAGACAGAAGTGTTTCTTTTCTTCTTTGTGTGTGAGCGGTTGTAATTAAACCGTGAAAAAGCTTCTCATTCGGTTAAGAGATTAGATTGTTTGCTCGCCCGGTTTACAAAAAAAAAAAAATATAATAAATAATAACAAGAAAAGTGATTTTTGATGGTAGGGCGGACCCAAAATGCGATGGCTGGAACAATTACATACCCATTTAAATATCAAAATGCCAAACATTATCACAGCCAACTAGAAAATAATCAAAACAAAATTACTGGTGGTGAAACAAATTATTTTGTTTGAATGTCTGCCAGTGGCTGTGTGTGAATTGAAAAAGACAATTGACATGGCACCAAGGTTTTAACTTGAAAATGGATCCAATTACATTAGACACATTAACAGAGGTTTCAGATTTAAAATATGGGAATAATATGCAGTAGAAGGGCACTGATAAACGGTTTATCAAAGTTAACACGTTGAATAGAGTCTGCAAAATTAAACTTAAAACCAACTGTGACACATTTGATTGCTCTTTAAATGATTTATGTTTTTGGAAAAGGAAAGAACGGATCCTGCATCAGAAATATCTGAAGCTTATGTCAGAAAGATCCATATTAATAAATGCTGACACCTTTCTTGGCCATTTCCATATTGATTTTCATGATGGTTTCATCGGAGAGCACTATAACATACTTCAGCAGTAACTTTAGCTGGGCAGCTTGACCAAAAATCATTGAAAGTCCCTTTTTAATGCTTCATTACTGAAATGGGCAGCTCACATCATTCAGCCGAGTTGCTAATGAGGTGAAGTGTGAATTTAGGTCGACAAAAAAGACCTCCTTATGCAATTACGTCAAGTTATTTATTTGCCTAACAGTAGTTTAACCTATCCTGACCTGCACTGTTTACCTTTCATATTCAGTTTTTCACATTTATACAGCTGGGTTGTTTTCAAGTCTCACATTTGATTTAGATCGCTGTAATGTTCTCTAAAAATGAATAAATACTTTGGTTTTGAAAATGAATTTTTTTTAAATGCATTTAATCACAATATATTGTATAATTAAATGCAAATAATAATTGTAAAAACATTTTTTTAATCAATAAACATATTACCATTATATAAATAATAAAACCCACCTGTCCAAGCTGTCATCATCAGTCTGAAACTCCATATCATTTTATTCAGGTGAACAGCGTACGGAGAAGACTTCAATTCACTTTGAGAGCAGAGCTGCACTTTCCATTCCATAAACATCTAGAATTAGATTGGACACACTTTAACTCATTGGCTGTAAATTGGTGAGACTTTGAGGTCACCAGACTTTACTGAGCTATTATAATGTGCCGGTGAGAGACCTCTTCAAGAAACATACATACAATAAGACAACTAGCCTATTGCATTGAGAGTGTGAGGAACTGTAGCTACAGCAAACAGCCGTGCCCATATTGTTCAAAACAAATCATTCAGGAAAACTGAATTATTAAAACACTTTATCACTTTCAGGGTCAAATTTATTGAGCCTGCCTGGATGTATATGGATGGAAGCAGAGATTGATTGTCTTTTTCACAGTGGTTTTACATTTCTGCATGCTCTTAAATGTGTTCCCTGTCTCTTATTGGATGCTGAAAGGATTCTGTCAGATAGAAAAGAGTGGGAAAGATTGTATTTCCTGATTAAGAAATTCTTCATTCTTACAATTTGTTAAAGTAAATACAGCAAAATATAAGTTAATCCACAGTTTCAAGTGCATTTTTTGGTTGTTACAGGGGGGGAGGGATTGGATTTGGTGTTTGTATTTACCCATTGTAATTTGATTGTGTCGAGGCTTCCGGTGACGGTCTCATCTGCTTCCAAGTCCGTTATGCTGCTTGATAGTGCAAACTTGTCATCATCATATTATTTTAACTCATTATTGTAATCATAAACACAGTGGGGTGCGTTTCCTCTACAACAACATAACTCGTCGCTGCTTAACTACCACAGTACGATGCATCGTAAACCGCATTGTCGCAAATTTGCCGTTTAATAATGACGTCACGCAGGTGGTCCATTTAAGGTCGAATTAATGAGGACTAATTCTTATTTTTCTCAGTTATTTTGCTTTATTTCCAGATTTATGTCCTTACCTAGTGCACCTATCAAAAACGCCGCTTAAAATCTTAAAATTGACAAACTAAAAGACGTAAAATGACATTTGTTTATAATTCGTAATACAAGGTCCAGATTATACTGAATGTCAGTTTGCTAATTTTGCCCAAGATTTATTGAGTCCCCTACTTACATGCAAACATGAAATAAGCCAGTGCTTCTAGTTCTAACATTACTAGATCTAACGTTACCACCACAGGTCGAAAGCTGTCGTCTCAACCACACAACTTTGCGATGCTGTTTGCGAATGTGTGTTGGAACAATGATTTCGGTAAACACTGACTTGTTGAACTATGCAAGGCTGCGTTTCACGTACAATTTGTATTACGGTACAAAGTAACTCGTAACTCTGCTTAACTGCCAGTTGCATCGTTGCATCCCCTGGTTTGTAGTGCAAATTATTTTACCATGAGTAGTCCCCTAAATGGTAAGGGAGTGTGGAGTATGATGAAGTCTTTGATTTTTTTTTTTCAAGATAAAAGAATAGGCAGAAGTGCAATAAATAAAGAAATCTAAATACTTCTGGATGTTTTAAATTATTTTAAATAAGAATACATGTTCCTGTGGCACAATTTAGCCTACCCATTAGGGGTCAGTTGTTCCGAATCAGTGGGTAACCTGTGTGTAAACTGACTATATAAATTAGTCTGATTTTACCCCATGTGAAATTTTAAAGATAATTTACCTCTTTTAAAAATGTTTTTAATAATCAATTTTTCTTCTATTAAAGCTAACATAAAACCAAGTGGCGTTGTAATTTCAATAAAGCAAGTTCAAGTTGTATCTTGCCAAAAACAGACTAATCAGAGAGTTTGCATATAGGCCTATTTAATAAAATCTGATTTAGAATGAATGAATAAATGTCACTAAAACTAAACATTTAGTCAAAAAGTTCTTTGCATGGTTTTCTGCAATGCCAAACATATAAGACCGTTAAAGGACAGCTGGAAAGATATGATTATAATCTGGTGAAAAGAATCTTCTGGTTATTCAGAAAAGGATTTTGGTGTAACATTATAACCTAAACCAGTTGCATAATATTGCATTGAAATTGCCATTTTATACATAGAAATTTAAGTTAATTTCCTTATGGTAATGCTGGCTCAATTTACCCCACAGCATTTGGCTCACTTTGCCACATAGCTGCCATTAATATTTAGCTAAATTATTTGCATGGTTGCTAAATCATAAATATTTTTAGTCCTGCAAATTTACTTTGACATAACAGTCAGCCATTGCATCTGTTATGCTAAAATTTTACTTTGACAAGCCAAAAACAGTTTATAAAGTAAATGGGTGCCTTCCACACCTCCCATGTGTTTCTCCTTTTCACAGTCTGGCCAAAATGATGGGTAGTTTCAAAATATATGATCACATGACAACAAAAGTGTACAGTTGCCAAGATAAAGGGGGTGGGTCAACTTACCCATGGTTCATTTTATTCTTTTTTATTCTTCCCATTATTATTGCGGCAAATTAATCAGAAGACAGAATCACAGAAAATAGCTTACTAATGCGTTGCCACTAAGGTGAGTGCAAGTATCCTGAGATCCTGCATGCATGCATGCTTGGCAAGATTTGAATAATCTGTAAAATTAGGGTTTTAGTGCTGGCTTCATTACTCTTTATAATTTGATTAGGCTACATTTGTTTACAATTTAAGATTATTCACTAGTTTTAGCTAATGGTTACCTCATTATTGATCTTCAATCTTCAAATCTACCCAGTACATCAGCATTGCTCTCCTCACTCTCTACTTATATCAGTCTCTGGAATTAAGTTGAGAGCCATAAATTCGACTGCCATATAAAAAGAGGTTAAACAAATAAAAGCCGATTTGCCAAGAAAATAAAGTAAATGCACATTCCAGAACATACTTGACAATCTGACATCTGAATTTGTTTATGCCTTTTATTTTCATTTTGGGGTGTGCCATACTTTCGATTTTCATTTTCATTTCAAATTAATGATGATATTTAGTTGCAGTGTTTACCCAGAATGTATTATATTATATTATATTATATTATATTATATTATATTATATTATATTATATTATATTATATTATATTATTGTTTCCCTATATATAGGCATACAAGTCATGGCCACTTGGGTGGGGAGTGGATCAGGGCTCTTGTAACAGCAGGAGCTGCTGTGAGACAAATTGCTACAAATTGTGAATTTTCCATTTTAGAGGATTACAAAGAGGCCCCATTGAGCTGATCTCCACAGCACACACACACAAGAGCAGCAGGAAACCAGAGCAAAGCTTAATGAACAATGAAGCTGAGAGAATTATCTGAGTGACAGCCAGCGTCTTTTCAGCATGAGATCCCTAGAAAACTCTGAAGTTACGGATCCTTCTTAAGGGCAAAAGCGCATGGGAGAATTTATTTGATCAAGTTTTGTTTCAAAAAATGTTGCCACTAAGTGAATTTTAAATAATGAAATAAATAAAAAATAATATAACATTGAACTAAAATATAATTAATTAAAATATTTTTGTTGTTGTTTTTAAAGAGTTTTTATACACTTTAAAAAAAAATCTTTCAGTTGCACTTTCAAGTGGTTTCACAGCTAAGGTCCAGATCCAAAACTGTAAATAAACTAATGACTTACCAAGAAACTAAAATCCTGATTTATGAACCTGCTCGGGTCTGAATTTTTAAATATGTTTGTGCTTTGGTCCTGAGAAGGTTAATATTTACTCTCACAGTTCTCCCACCGGCCTTCTGGCCTTGCTTGTGAACAGACACAAGTAGTGTGTTGTCTACAAGTGAGAGGTGAGAAAGAGACAAGACCCAGAGGAGCTTGATTTATGGTCGTGCTCACCAGAAAACGCTCTTTTATGTACCTAATCCTGCCTGGGAAAGTTGGTATACATGATAGAAAGTTGTCAGTTCCGTGCAGATAGAGTGTGCAAAACAAGGCTCAAATTGTTCTTTTTTCTCCTTGTCAATTTGCTCCCAGGCTATAATGTTATTTTCCCATGCTCGCCAAGGCCCTGTAGTTTGTTTAGCAATGTCGCAATTGGGTGTTAATGCCTCTTTAGTTATGTCACCCCTGTCTGTTGAGGAGCAAGAGAGGCGCCTCTGCTTTTCCTCTCTCAATCCTGGACTGTTTCAGATGGGGAAATTAAGACCGTGTCAATGTGAGGTCAGAAAGTGACAGCGCAGGAATCTAATGCTCTTTACACCATGACTGGGAATAATCTGACATATCCCATGTGGCAGCATCTCTCTTCCGCCATGTAAAGTGGCAGGCACTTCAGGAAAGGTATTATTGCTATTGTTTTATATTGACTGTACATTATCAATGTAAATATTACTACTCATCAAATATTAAGTTGAATTATTTGGTAATTTATATTACTAGTTTGTGCAAATGTGCAAAAAAATCCTTTCAACAAGACAAACACTTAAAGACCATTCAAGAAAAATTATTACTGAAAACCTGAGAATAATCTTCACTTCAATTCATATGTTCAATCAAAGTTATGAAAACATATGTTTTTACATTGCCTTAACTCATCAAAATAAGTTAAGTTTCAACTTTTTATGTTATACAAGATTCAACTTATTTTTTTAAGTGTTTAATGAAATTTAAGTTGAAATGACTTATATTTTATGACTTATACTTATGCATTTATATGAAATGAGAAAGAGCATGCAAGCAAATACACTAAAAAATTATTTGGTGTATTATTATTAAATTTCAGAATTAATTACAAATAAGGAGCTAGTAACAAAGATTTTGAAATAGTATTTTCTTGTAAAATTGTTCCAGTATAATATTTGATCTCATCAACCCAATCTAATTAGAAAACGTAATTATTTTATGGCGATTTTGTGCATTTCATATAAATGTATGATTTATATATATATATATATATATATATATATATATATATATATATATATATGCATGCTGGGTTTTGGGTCAAATACACACCCAAATGTTGGGTTAAAAATGAAAATGTACAGTTGAAAGTGAAAGTTGAAGTTGGGTTAAAATTGTATATTACATTTATAACCCAACATTTGGGTTTGTCAATATTTGACCCAAATTTGGGTTAAAACAACCCAGCATTGAGTGTTAATGAACCACCCCTAAACTTAACCATCAGTGGTGCGTAAGCAGAGCATACACAAATGTATAAATGAGTTTGTACAAATTCATAAAAAATTGCCAACAATTCGCCAAAACCAAAAAAAAATACTCTGGTATATAAATTCCCATGGAGAGTGTGTTTGTATGTTTCCATGGACGACAACGAATATTAAGAATTATCAAACATGTTTGAGTCCAAAAAAAAAAAAAAAAAGATTTTTAGAGGCCTATGTAATAATAAGCCATATTTCAGACCAAGTCCAAAATGAACCACTCAGTGAAGTGATTGTCTACTTTTGAGCTCTAAATTATGGTGCTACAGGACCAGGAATGTTCATTTATAATCTATGCCTTTTGTTTGCCCAGAAGCTTTGACACAGCCTTTCCAGTCTAAACTTTTGACCCCTGGTCACTGTGGTACAGCTGATGGTGTTTGAGGAGATCGTAATGGGGCTCATTTCAGATGGAATCATTCCTAGTGTAAACACTGATTCTGATGCCTCATCCAGATTCTCCTCACACACTTCGAGGAAGGAGATCCTGGCCTCATTACTGCAGCCAGTGTGACGATCATGTCCAGAGCTAGGGGGACTTGACATTTTGCCCTCTTCCATGAGGTGAACTTCTTACTATTGTCATTCAGCCAATATTTCTGGTGCATTAGATAACCGATTTACTCGGGATTTGCACCTTCATATCAAGT